TCATTAATTAATTCTTACGAGCTTGCTTTCACATAGCAAATGGAAATCCCACAATAAATGAGCCTTTGCATGAATAACATTTGTATTGTTGTCTTGTGCTTGAACTAGATTGTTTATACAACAACACATCATTTTGGCTTTCATTAAATACTCACGAGATAACCTATAACCTGTCCACACTTAGCAAACGGGTTAGACCTTTAATCATGTTGTCATTCAATCATCCAAACCCTACTAAAGGGCTAGATGCACTTTCAAGAACGTTTCGGCGATACCCGACGGGTACATCCCCGTTGCCATCCATAATCCGAGGAGAAGAGAAGTGGCGGAGTCCCACGCTGGCCATGAGAGGCTGAAAGCGAGGCAGAGGGAATTAAAATAGGGTTGTTTGGATTCATGACATAATAATTTTCGATGACGGGAGAAACTCATTACTATTTGCCTATTTTAAAGCATGTCATTACAATTCTTTGTTTCCCACAAAAATACCACTAAATACGTATGGACACAGCCTAGGCCCAGATGCAGATATATACGAAGACGTATACTTCATCACCCCATGTCATTGACACGCGGGCCCCACATGTCATCTTCTTCCTCCTCCTCTCCTCTCTCTCCATCCCGACGCGGCCACGGCCACGGCGAGCAGCAGCACGCCGGCAGCCCGCGAGCAGCGACAGCAGCATGCCGCGGGCGAGCAACCGCGCGTCGCCCTGGGCTGGGGGCGGGGAAGGGGCCGTGCCTGCTAGAGCTCGCGGGGGACGGGGATGGGACCATGCCTGCTGGAGCTCGCGGGCATGGGGATGGGGTCACGTTGTTGGATCTCGTGGGGACGGGGTCGCTACAGGGCGCAGGGACGGGGCCACGCTTGCCGAAGCTGGGGACCGGGAGGCCGTGGTCGACCTGCACCGGATCCAGTGGAACCCGCGGGCGCGTGGGGCATGGAGGCACTTGTGAAGCTTGACCTGCGCCGGATTCATGGAGGAGGAGGTGTGCCGGGCGCCAGCCATGGAGGTACTCGTGAAGCCCAACCGGCACCGTATCCATGGAGGAGGAGGTCCATGAGACGTCGGCCATGGAGGAGGAGGCGCCCGTCGCCGGGGAAGGCCAGCAGCAGCAGCAGCAGCACGTCGGTCAGGCCGCGAGCTTCGCGTCGGCCGCGTCCTCGGCGCGCCGCCCGGGCGGTGAGCTCCGCACCGGGCGCGTCCTGCTGCTCGGCTGTGGCGCTCCCGTCGCCGGCTGCTCGCCCGCGGCGCGCGGGGTCACAACAGCGGCTCTTCGGCTCGCCCGCAAGCCTGCACCCGCCGCCGCCGGCAGCGCCCGCCGTGGCCGCGTCGGGATGGAGAGAGAGATCCGGAGAGAGAGATGAGGAGAGAAAGAAGAAGATGACATGTGGGGCTCGCGTGTCAGTGACGGGAGAGATGAAGTATACGTCTTCGTATACGCTGCAGCTGGGCTCAGGCTGTGTTCATACATATTCAATAACATTTTTATAGAAAACGAAGAATTATAATAACATACTTTAAAATAGACGAATAGTAATAATATTTCTCCCGAAAATTATAATGGCATAAATCAAATAACCCATTAAACAAACAAACGAAAGAAAGAAAAACCCACGCCGGCCGGGGGGCGGTCAAACGCCACTCTCCGCCGCGGGACGGCGCGAGGAACGCAAGCCTCGTGTGGGTGACGTGTGGGACCGGGTTGTCTGGGCCCCGCGTGTCGGTAGCTGTTGTCGGCGTGAGCTGGGTGCACGGGAGGGAGGGAGGGAGGGGATCTCGCGAGGGCGTGATGCCGGCGTGGCTGGATGCGTGGGGAGACCAGCTTGGGTGGACGACGTGGGCGCTCGTCTTTTCCGGTGGGGGCCACAGTGACAGTGCCAGGGCAACGGATATGAGCAGTCCCAATACGATATTAATAATGGTTTCTATTTCTATTAAACAAGCTGTTATATAAGTAAAATGTTGATATGGTATCTCAGTTAATTAGAAAAGAGAAGAAAAAAGAGGAAATCGTTTCATGTAAGAGAAACGGCGACTACTCGTCTACTCCTCGCCCGAGCCCGCGCTGCCATGGTCGCCGCCCAAGCTCGCGAGCACTTCCGCGCCTGCGCTGCCGCAGGAGCTCGCCTGCGCCGCCGTGCTCGTGCGCCTCCGCTCAGGCCCGCGCCGCCGCGCTCGGAGCTCTGCTCGCTTGCGCCGACGCGCGAGCTCGCACGCACAGCCTCGCTCTGGAGCTCGCCGCGCTGGTGCTCTGCTCGGCCTCCGCGCTGGCCCGCGCCGCCGCGCTCGCGTGCCATCTCCATGCACGCCCGCGCACGAGCTCGCACACGCCGCCGCGCTGGAGCTCTGCTCGCGCGCCTCCACGCTGGCCTGCGCCGCCGCGCGAGCTCGCACGCGCAGCCACGCTCTGGAACTCTCCGCGCTGGAGCTCTGCTCGGCCTCCGCACTGGCCCGCGCCGCCGCTCTCGCCCGAGCCACCTGGGGAGCTCGCCCGCGCCGCCGCGATGGCCGCGCTCGCGTGCCATCTCCATGTACGCCCGCGCACGAGGCCCTCTATGGCGAGGCGCAGGCTGCAATCGCTGCCGCCTAGGCTGCTCGCCGTCCGCCCAGGCCATGCTTGACGCTGCTCTCCTGCCGAGGTTGGGCTCCACGAGGACGATGGGCGCGAGCAGCCGAGCATGCGGACATGCGGTCTTCCATGGCAAGGTGGAGGCCGGTTGCGAGGGTCCTCCACGCTCGTCGTCCGCTCAGGCTCTCCATGGTGAGCATCAGTTCACGCCTCGTGCTCAGGATGACGATACAGTTGGTAAAGAGAGAGAACAAAAATAATAGTTTTCATGGACATTAACTGTAATGTAATGTCACGTAACTGTTTCGCTGATACGAAGAGCAACAATTATAGAAACCGAGTCTAGATTAGAAACACTAAAGACACGAAGAAATATGATTGGTTGAAAATAAAGGGGAAAAAATATGACTAGATAAAAATTTCTTCTGTGAAAATTATCTATTGAGATCATGGTCGTTTATAGGATTGGGACTGCCGGGCTGCTGGACAAGGACAACAACCTGAACCTGAACGTGGGAGAGTGGAGGGGACGATGTTTGAGCATTAAATTGTGTGTTAATGATTTTCATTTTGTGAAAGATGAGATGTTTTTTTAAGGGGAAAAAAGCTTAAAGTGTAACCAGAATGGCTGGATACCGACTTCCCAGTACGATATTTTATTATTTGATGAAAATAAATGAACGGAATAGGATAAGGATAAGCAGCATCCATCTAAATCATCCAAATGTTACTTAGACAGTCTCCAACGGCCTCACCCAAACCTAAATATGCCTAGTTCATGTTGGTTCCCGTGAAAAAAGCAAGGTCCAACGGAGTAGGCAAACCGAAGACCCAGTATGTGTCGGTGTCGAGTAGGAACCCAAATAAGCATCTCTCTCTCCTCGACCCATATCTCTGTCACGCCCGCACAACCGTTTCGCGGGAGGGGAAAGAAGAGGAAAGCGCACCCGGCGAGTTGCCGTTGGCGAGATCTGCACCAAGCTAGGCTTCGCAGGTACGGATCCCTCCGCCCCACCGCCGCATCCTCCGTTCACGCGGAGCCTCGCGCCAGCCCTTCTCATGACGGCGGCGTCCCATCAATGGCGCAGCCACCCATCGCCATCCGCTTCGCTCCACGCTTGGTGCCGCCCCGACCCGACCAGCTCCTAGGCGGACAGGAGCTGGTTTCATTTTTGTCCCTACATTTCCTCCCCCATCTGTTGTCGCTCGTTCAGATTTGGCTCGATCCGCTGCTGATCCATCTATGTAAAGTTCTTCGCGTCATCTGATTCTCATGACCGAGATGGATTGAATCATGAGTTGTGTGGTAGTACAGTTGGAAATCACAAATATGTGAGTATATATAATAGCCTAGGACTGTAGCGGCAGTATGTGATCACCCATGACTCATTACAGGGCGGATGGTAGTGGTAGATTTGGCACAGGAAAAAAATATTGTATGCTGTCCTAGTATGTGTGTGTGTATATATATATATCCAATTCACCATGCCTGAATGAATGAACATATGATGCACTACTTTAAATACAAAACAACCCTTGTTTAGTAATATATGAAGTAATAGTAAGCAAGACAAAAAAATTGTGACTGCATTCACGATGGAAGGCTTATTTGCATCAACCTACTTTGAGAATGAGTAGAGCTGCAAATCGACGATATTCCACTCGATCAGCAGTAAGGCACCCCCAAAGTCGCTTGATCAATTGGACCGGTATATGCATATGACCTGGCAATGGGAATAGAATAATGGTACTCATCTTATGATTTCACCATGAACTTAGCAATTGTGTGTACTGCATTCCAGTTTTATTTTGTTGTCCACCTTTTTTTGGGTGTTCTCAGTTGCATTTTAGTGAAACATAAACTCTAGACTAGACTTCTCGTATTAGGCCTTCATTTTATCATAGCACAACTCTATTTTGTGGTGGGTTATTAGCTGACATATGAGACAATTGGGATTTAAATAGGGCAAACTAGTATTGTCTGTGTTACTCTATGAGCCATCTTAAACTAAATAATATTAAATACAGTAGAAGACTTGTCTTGTTGACTATTTCCCCGTGGCATATATGTTGCTGGTGGTTTTAGATAGGGACCAAATTGTCTATGGATGGAAGAACCAAATGCATCGTCTGTGCTGATATATTCTTTTGCTTCTTGTTGTGCATCACCATTATTGAATCTCTTTGAACTAGGATGATGGATAACAATTTTAGTGGCACAAGTGGTCGCGTTGGAAAATCTGGAGAAATCTTTGGGGCAGATCAGTGGGCTTTTGGTTATTCTGCTGCTTTGCAATCTTTGGATGTTCCTCCAAACCCCTAGGTTTATTGCAACCATGCATGATGGTTTGTTCTATTTACATATCAATACATCAATTATTACCAGTTCTTTTCATCACTAGTTCAACATGCATGGCTCCTCCCAGATGTCCTGCCCACCTATGAATGGGCAACTTAGTCAGGGGTTCTCTATTGACAACACCCATGGCTCTCAGGACCCTCCATCATTGAAATCACAGAGAGCCGCAGAGAAGAAAAACGTGTCTAGGAGAGGAACTGCATTCACCAAAGAGGAGGACTTGGTGGTGTGTTCGGCATTTCTGAATATTAGCAAAGACCCTATTACTGGTAATAGTTTGCAACGTCTTTTAAGAAATCTTTGACCCTTTGATGCTCAAATAACATGGTGGCATAACATGCAGGTGTGAATCATACTTCAGGTGGTTATTACAAGAGGATGCATGATTATTTCAATGAGCATAAGACTGAAGGGTCCAAGCGTAGCCAGATTGCGATTTAGCATAGATGGGCATTGATTCAGGAAGCGATGAACAAGTTCTGTGGGCACAAAGAAGCTATTGATAGGCTGAATGAGAGCGGAAAAAATGAGCAGGATCGGGTATACTTCCACTCATGTTGTCATCCATCTCTCTAATTTCTATATGTTTATTTTTTGAATCGGTTTAGTCTATATTCATATGTGCAGATTGATGATGTTGTACAAATGTACGAGAGGACAGAACCTTTTACCATCATGCATTGCTGGAAAAAACTTCGCAATGAGGCCAAATGGAACAATAAGTTTCTTGAGCTAAACAACTGTACATCACCGGATGGAATGTCATCTCCTCCAACTCAAGGCCATACTGTGGCTGGCCATGCAAAATCTGGGAATGAGAATATAGACACATCACGTCCTGAGGGTAGGGATAGTGCGAAGAGGCGTAGATCAAAGAGCTTCACAGAGACATCGTCATCTAGTACGGCTGTTGAAGTCCTCCAGCGGTTGCAGGAGAAATCAGAGAAGACCGAACAGAAGCAACACCAGCAAATGACTGAAATCCTTAGTAGGAAGGATGAAAAAATTAAAATTCAAAGGAATCTTTTCAACCTTCAGAAGAAGCATATGAAGATGAGTGTGCAGCAGAAAAAGAAGGAAAATGCGATTAGAGAGAAGGAGTCAGAGGCTCACCTGATATTAGCTGAGTCTAGTATTATATCGGTTGACATTGAGAAGGTCCCCCTTTTATCTAAAAAACTATTATCTTGACATGCAGCGTCAAATCATGGAGCGCAGAGGATTCATCAGCCCCTCGAACAATGAAGACTAAGGAGCGTGTGTTAAACTTCAGTTGAAATAGAGTTGAATAAATGTATTGTGTGCAACTTTTCTATTATCTGTTGAACTGATGTATTATCTGTAGTATTGTGAACTGATGTGTATAGACAATCTGATTTTGCCTGTCTGTAGTGTTGTACTGATATATTCCTGAAGTACCAAATAGGTAGACGCTCTGAGATTGTAATCTGAATTACAAAGTCTACATTACCTGACTGATGGCAGGCAGGGCTACTCGTTTCCTATGTTGGAAAAGCCATGTCAGTTACCTACCTTTTGTTTTGATCTTTTGGTAAGCACTGGCTGTGAATTAAAATCTTCCTATTTGCAATACCTGAATGTTGGATGCATGAGTTTGATTTCTTCAGGTTTCATAACATTACTAGTTCATTTTTAGAAGAAACCATCTGAACATGCTGCCAGGATAGACTCTTGCAAGCAGGAACTGACAATTTCAGTTTCAAAACTTTCAGATATGGCACTGTGTACCATCCAATGCCACATTGAACTGAATATATACTGTGTTCCATTCCCTCTGAAAAAAGGCCATCAGGATGGTTCAGCTTGGTTGCCTAGTATAAAATTTTCAATGTCAGTTTGGTTGTTGTTACCAAATTTATCGTGATCATGGATCATGAACCATATTCCAGTTTACGTTTTGGATTATTGCTTTTATTTGGTTGGAAAAATCTGGCCTGTAATACTGGCACATGAGTTTTGCTTTGTACGTGGTTGAATTTCTTCAGGAATCTTTAAGTCCTGTTTGCAATATCTGAATGTTGTATGCATGAGTTTGATTTCTTCAGGTTTCAGATAACATTACTAGTTCATTCTTAGAAAGCATGTGGAAAGACTGCTAGAATAGATGCTTGCAAGCAGGAACTGACAATGTCAGTTTCAAAACTTTCAGATATGGTATTTGTGTACCATCCAACGCCACATTGAACTGAATATATATTCTGTGTTCCATTGCCCCTGAAAAAAGGTCATCAGGATGCAGCTGTGTTCCCTAAATTTTCAATATCAGTTTGGTTGCTTTTAACAAATTCACCGTGATCATGGATCATTAACCGTACTCCAGTTTATGTTTTGGATTATTGCTTTTATTTGGTTGGAAAAGTTAGGTCTATAAATCAGAATTGTTTTGTACGTGGTTGAATTTCAGTCCTGGCATATATAATTCTGTTGCTGCAGAGCACTAATTTGCTATTCAGTTCATTGTATTTAGGCAAATCAAGAGCCTCCAAGGAATGACCAAATTTCTTTACACTTTTGAGATTTTGTTGTTGTATTTATCTGATCTGGTCTCTCAAAAAGCACCTGCAACATATTGCCAGCCACATGGATCTTCTCTACTAATGGTGTACACTACAGTTTTTGAACTTAAACAAGTGCATTCTCATGTTGGAATTCTGAAAATATAGTTTTTTTTTTGTACAATAACTGGTGCATTTCTTTTGTACAGTTTTTGAACTTAAACAAGTGCATTGTCAGATAGTGATAGAGTAAGTATTATTTGACTACTCTTAATTCCACTTGCTTCTTTCATCTCATAGTTTTGCATTCTATACTCTCTGCACTAGGTCCAGTGGACATGCACGCCACTGAAATAATTACAGAACTCCAAGAGAATTCCACTACAGATATCATATATTTCTTATCAACAAGCAATAAAATATCTACATGTGTCGGCTGCCAACAAAATACAAAGGCCTTATCAGTAGGCTGCCTGCAGCTAAACCTACAACTACATACATAGACGACAACAAAAAAACTAAACCTACAGGTAAATACTTTAGTTCCTGTTATTAGGACCAAAAGGACCAGAGCATTGGCCGTAAACCATCCACGTGTGTTCCATCAGGTCGTTTTGAAGCTGAGCTGCTGTCTCTCTGTCCTGAATGATGTTTTGAGCATCAACAAGTTTCTTAATTCCCGGGATTTCTCTATCCTGGTTAATTGGTGGGTCAGCCACTCCAGGCCATTCTGATGGGTGGATATTAGGTAGCTGAACCCCGCGCTCATCTTCAACTACCATGTTGTGAAGTATGACACAAGCATGCATAATGGAATTAAGTACTTTTTGATTCCATAAACGAGCTGGCCTATGCAAGATTTTCCACTTAGCCTATAGGACACCAAAAGTTCTCTCCACGTCCTTTCGACATGACTCCTGTTGCTCTGAAAATACCTTTTGCTTGTTGCTAACTGACAAAGGAATGCTTTTCACTAGTGTAGCCCAATCGGGATAGATGCCATCTGCTATGTAGTATCCAAGGGAATATATGTTGTCGTTGACATGGAACTCAACAGAGGGTGCCCTCCCGTTAGCCAAATCATCAAAAACATTGGAACGATGCAAAACATTAATGTCATTGTGAGACCCTGGTAAACCAAAGTAAGCATACCAAATCCGAAGATCCTCGGTCGCCACCGCCTCAAGTAATGAGTTGGCTTGCCTTTGTGCCCTTTGTACATGCCTTGCCAACCAGTCGGGCAGTTAGACCATTCCCGGTGCATGCAATCGATGCTGCCTATCATTTCCGAGAAACCTCTAGCCAAATTGATGCTTAATATGTGCTCTATCTCCTCACTTCTGGGAGGACGAAGAAATTCTTTGCCGAACACCTCTATCACAGTCATAACAAATTCCTTCAGGGTCTCCAGGACAGTACTCTCTCCCATTTTCAAATGATCATCCAACTCATCAGCTGGGCCTCCATATGCTAGCATCTTTACAACCACCGTGCACTTGTGAAGAGCAGAGAATCCTAACTACCCAGCAGCATTTCTCCTCTGTTTGAAGAAGGTATTCTTGGCAGTGACCTCATCCACTATCTGAAGGAACAATTCCCGTCTCATGCGGAACCTACAGCACAAAATTAGAATTGTTTATCAAATTAATTCAATGTGTCATGCAAATGGAAACTAGGCCAAAGATTTACCTCCTTCTAAAATGTTCCACATTGTAAAGTGGACGCTCAACAAAGTAGTCCTGATTTAGTTGCTGGTCTGCTGCAATTCGATCACGCTTGTAAGTCTTGTGGCCTGGCATCGAACCTCCCCAAGGGCGCTTTTTGTGGAGTCTGGGTGAGGACGGCCACCGCAGCCATGATCTCATCATCCCTGGAGTATGCTGCGGCTGTCCCGAACATTGAAATTTTGACATAATTCCAAGCCATGGCAATGCAACTGCAGTACAGGTCTAAAGCCAAGCTGATTTAGGGACAAATTGGCCACAAATTAAGGGCTCATTCGTTTTACTCTCCATCCAAATGGATTGGAGGAGATTGAGAGGGATTTGATACCCTAGAATAGCTATAGAAGTGTAACGTCAATCCGAGATAGCTGTAGCACACAAACACGACAGTGGTCAGTGTCTAGTGCAAAATAATCTGTACACCCCCAAAATAGGTAAACGAAACAACCAGGCAAACATGGTCAGGTAAATTCAGTAGCAACCTGATGCAGCAGCAGAGATTGCAATGTTGCTGGCAATGTTGTGTCCAAACTCCAAAATCAATAGCTCCTGGAGTTTTCAAGCACCAGGAAAGTGTTGTGCTGTTGTCAGAGTTGCTACTTTGTGATTGTGTACTCAAATGTGGCAATTTTACTTGATTCTCCTTGGGCTTGCAAAAATGAAGATACATGATCATCAAGACCAAACACAAACAGAGAGAGATGCATATTTGATCAAACAGCTAGAGTTGTCTGTACACTATGTGGTGTTGCAGATTTTATCTAGGCCAAACTCATGAATACAAGTAGATTGTAACATTATCATGGATAAGATTCAGGGAGGCAAACAGGGCTAAAAAAAGCAGAACAAGAAGCATACTTTGGGTTGACAAAAAATTAATTTCCACCTCACGACTTTGCCTGAACCTTGCTGGGATGCAGTGGTGAATAAATTAGAACCTAACAATTCACAAGGATAAGCTGACCAGTTTTGTGAAGAAAAAACTGAAACATTCCCATGGGCTTAGATGCATAAATTACAAGAACAAAAAAAAAGGGATAAATGTTAGGCCAAAAAATAGCCTCTGCTTCAATCAGAGTATCAGACCCACAGCCACATCTCGTCTGCTACTGTGAGGCAGAGTTATCAATCCATGATTCCATCTGGTTAGATTCGATATATTAGGTGATGGATTTCTAGAGTCTTGTTTCGAACCTGCAGGTCTGAATTGCAGTGTTTAGTCTCAGTCTAGACTTCACTACTCTAGTGGTTCAACCATTTAGTTGTATGCTATTTTAATCCTTTAGACAGATAGATAGATGTTGATCCCCCATAGGCTGCAAAATTCTACCAGAGTAACATGCCCAGATAATTACAAGAATCAACGGGAACGAAAAGGCCAAAAAAAAAAGAATCAATCAAGTCAGAGACGAGGGGCCGACCTGTGGGTGAAGAACTCAATGACCACGATTGACTCCTGTGAGGCCTGGAGGAAGGCGGTGAAGTTGGACGTGTCGAGGTCCATGGCCGCGTCCCCGTCCGTCTGAGGCAGGGCGAGGAGGAGGCGGCGAGGGTGAGGGCGTAGGGACGCCGCTCCGCCTCCGCCGTGTCGCTTCCGCAGGGATTCCGCCGGCTACCTCGCTGCCAGTTTGACTCCCTTCTCACACGCAGCCGGGGCAGCAAGATAATCCCGCCATGGATCCAAGCCCGCAACGCACGATACCCTCCCTCCGTTTCCCACGAAAATTTCATGGACCGCGCGCGAACGAAACCGTCCGTGTTCCGACCTTTCCTTCTGCGTTCATTGTTGGAGAATAATCATGAATAGGTCTCCAATTTTGAGTCGTATTGTTGGAGATAGTCTTACATTTCATAAGAAAAGTGTATTATGATTTCACCTAAGGAGTTTTATAGAGCCTAAAATATTAAATTGATATAAATTTGTGTCTAAGGTATTACATTATAAATACTT